CGGCCTAGACCTGTTTATTTCAACATTCACATTAGCTCCTTAATAATGTGTGTCATGTATGAAAGGAGAATGAGCTCAGCAATTAACCATGTTCCACCTCTGTGCCTTTCGTTTCTTTCTTTCCTTTCACATTTTACCCCTCTCATCTCAGAACTGAGACAAAGGTTGGCTTGGGCTTCATTTCTTGAATTCTTCAGCTGTAAGACTTGAAAGAAGTGGAAGGAAATCATGAATGTAAAACAAGGATAGAATTTAATTGTAAAAGTTAAATCTCTGGGGCTGTGTTAACAGTAAGAGTGGAGAGTAAGAGTTACTAAATAGTAAACTCCATATGGGCAGAGAATTTTTTCCCATTTAGTTCACTAGATAGCTTATACCAGTGCCTACCATATGATAAGCACTCAGTTAATAAATGCATGACACTAGGAAAAGGCACTTGCTAACTTTCTTTCTTTTTTTTTTTTAATTTTTCTCCAAATTCCTGGTTTAATAAGGACTTGTTTGTTTTGAGGAAAAAAGGTCCCAAACATCAGGCTGTTCACAAAAATAACCCACAGTATCAACTTTAGAAAACAAATCTTATGGGCCGGGTGCGGTGGCTCAAGCCTGTAATCCCAGCACTTTGGGAGGCCGAGGGGGGTGGATCACGAGGTCAAGAGATCGAGACCATCCTGGTCAACATGGTGAAACCCCGTCTCTACTAAAACTACAAAACATTAGCTGGGCATGGTGGTACGTGCCTGTAATCCCAGCTACTCAGGAGGCTGAGGCAGGAGAATTGCCTGAACCCAGGAGGCGGAGGTTGCGGTGAGCCGAGATTGCGCCATTGCACTCCAGCCTGGGTAACAAGAGCAAAACTCTGTCTCAAAAAAAAAAAAAAAAAACCTTAAGACTTTAACACTAATTATTTTTCTAGAGGATACATTTGACATGCCAACTCTCATTCACAAAAATACATGGTTACATTTTTGTTGAACTACCCCACACAGCACACTAATGTTGGGGTATAACACACATACTTCTGACTCAAAGCTGCTTTTAGGAGCTACTCAACTAAATGAGCTTGCCTTTGCAGTTAGGGAAGCAACTACTGAACTATGAATGAAAAGAACTGTACTCCCTGCACAACAAGAGATTATTTTGGAGACAGTAGATAAAAAGCATCCATACTTTTTATTAAGTCATAAAGAGGTATCAAAATTAAAAGCAAAAATTACAGGTAAGACTTAAAACTACTAGGAGTGTCAAAGGAAGTGAAAATGGGACTAGGGACAGGGCAATAGGAACTAATGAACATGGGAAGGACAAGGATGGGGAGGACAGTGAGCATGTGCTGAAGATACTAGGGGAGAGGATCTGGTGAAAAATTTGATCTTAGGCAAGCGCCTAGGTAAAGAAATGATAGGCAAGCGCCTAGGTAAAGAAATGATAGGCAAGCGCCTAGGTAAAGAAATGATGGGCAAGCCGGGCACGGTGGCTCAAGCCTGTAATCCCAGCACTTTGGGAGGCCAAGGCGGGTGTTTCTTTTCAATTTTTTCCAGGTTTTCCAGGAGAGAATCCACTTTTTGTTTTATCTGGGTCA